AGGTCTCGGTCTGGCTGGAAATATTTTGATGATGTTTGGTTGGTGTTCTGAAGCAGCCAAGATACATTCCGGAGCTTGCCTCCTGGCGCTCTATAATCAGACCAATATTTTGCTCGCTACAGAACCTGCTACAAAAGGTCAAATGCCGCTTCCGTCGCCGTGGTAGGCTTCTGCAATTTTTCAGAACTCGATTATAACCCCAAATGACATACTATTCTATTTGACCTCTCCCTCAAGCACCGACGGTCGGAATCTTCGCGATATCTTTTGGGTTTGTAGTATGCCTGGCGGGTAAGGTTGCTTTGTTTAGTGCGCTTCTCACCTCGCTCTTGTGTACTGCAGTGAAACGAAAACTGCAGAGTTTGCTTGGGTACGGGCCAGCCCGCACTTTACGGCTGTATTCATGAAAAACCCGGGTCAGGCACGGGCCTTGCATTGAAGTCTACAAGGCAGGCCAAGGCGGGCCAAGCCAGCAGTTACTCTTTTTTTTTTGTTTTAGCAGCAAAGCTTTTCTAAGTTTGTTCGAGAGGTTGGGGGAGGGACAATAGTGGGACAGACTCAAAGGCTGAGAAGCATGTGTGTGCGTTTTTACATGCTTTTGTACAGTTTGGTGTGTGTGCAGCAAATGCTCTTCGAGAGCAGTTCTCCCCATCAACGCGCACGCATAGGCGCCTCACGTAATATCCCTAGAAGTACCCACCCCCGATAGATAACCCGCCTCTATTTTTGGCATGATTTGCTATTCTTTCAAAAACACCGAAAGATAGCCCACCTCTACTAATTGCGGGGCTCTGGCCTGTGGTGACCTCTGCAGGATCGGTGTTGCTTTGCCACAGTGGGAGAGAAGTGAACGTTGCAAACTGGGAAGGACAGTTTTCTATGTTCCATCACCCTTCAATGTGAAAACAAGGTTGGCAGGTCACAGAATATAAAAGTAGCACTCTTCAAATTTTTCTTGATTGCACACCGAAAGTTAGCCTACTCTTCTTTTTCACACAATTTGCTCTTGCTCTTAGGTGGGCCATCTCTAGGGATATTACGGTATGCAATGCGCACTCTCCGAGGCGTAAACCACCTGCATCTACAAGCGCATGCATCCAGAGCATGGGTAAAGAGCTTCCCTTTGGGGGTGTTTTTTCTAAACAGTTTCTCTAGGGATATTACGGTATGCAATGTGCACTTTCTCAGGCGTAAACCACCTGTATCTACAAGTGCACGCATCCAGGGCATGGGTAAACAAGTTCCCTTTGGGGGTGTTTTTTCTAAACAATTTCTCGCACACCGCTACCAAAAACTTTTTTTTTGACGCAGCAGGAGTGGGCAATTTAAAACTTCCTTTTGTCCAAACCCGTCGCAGTGTTTCTCTTCTTTTTTAACTTTGACACACGGTTTTGTTTACCGCTCGCAATTTTTGTTTTTCTGTCCTTTCTGATATGAGTGTTTGATCGCAAAAAAGGATGACGAGGGTGATTTTTCTTAAAGTCGCTGTGAAACGGTTTTTGGATTTTTGGCCAATTAACTACAGGAATTAATTTGTGTCACTTTAGAACAAAAAACAGAAAAATTGTGTTTTCTTGTACACTCTAGCTTTTATTGTAAAAAGATTAAACATATCGAAGGTTAAAGTGCTTTTCAACTCTCGCACCGTCTTTCAAGTGCCCCGTTGGGTTCTGACTTCAAAGAACCCAGACGCTTTCTCTGCAATTGTTGACTTTTTGAGGATTAGCATCGCCAAAGGTCGCAGCAAGCGATCGACACAATGGACAGTTCATTACAGGGCTGACGGCAAGTGTAGCAGCGGAGGGGGTCGGGTTTTGTTGTTACCGCATGTCCCCCAGAAACGTGTCGCCGTAATTCCCGTAACCGCCGCGGACAGCTGCAGATCGGCAAAAAATTTGTTTTGGCCTTTGCGATTACACAGTGGAATAGCAGCTTTTGGGGGGCAAGGTGGCACATTTTTTGTCACTTGTGTCTCAATAAATAATATACAAAACACAAACTCCAAATTCTTTCAATGTTGAAATCGTTGCACTACCCCTTTAGCGAGATTGGTCTGCTAATAAAAGCAGCAAAAAAATAAACGGATGCTTACTGAATTGACTATTGGGTACCATAATCAACATGTGCAGCAGTAGCGAGCGAGCTGCTGTGCCGTGGAATTTGTGAGCTATCTATACTGGCCGAAAATTAGCGGGCCTCGGCGGGCATGAGAAAATTAACATCGGGCCGGGCCGGCTGTCGTAAATGGCTAGCGGGCCACGGGCAGGCCTAGGCCAAAGACACGGCGGGCTAGGCTGGGCCGGACTCCTAAATATCACCTGTGCAGGCCTCTACTGCATAGTATGCTTTGTGATTTTGCTTATCTGGCTTCGCTGCAGTGCACCCGCGTGCTAAAGGGAATGCACTCCCCCAAAGCAGCATTAAAGGAGTCATGAAACGATTTTCCAACTTTTTCCTGTTTAGCTTTCCTCCTCAACTCATAAATCGTGCATTGTTCCAAACAGTCCAAGAATACGAAAAGGGGGGGAGTCGCCTCTCGCTCGGACTCTCGTTTGTTTACCCGGACACTGACATTCTCCTTCTAGAAGATTAGCCTGTCGCTCAAAATTTAGACGAAAGTTGCTTTCCCCACCCCGTTCACCCCGAAGCTGACAGTGCTGTGGAGGCTACGTGCTCATTGGGCCAGCCACACTTTTGCCACGTGATCAAGCTCTCTTGCGCATACACACGAGCAGAGAATGAGGTCAGGTGATGAAAAGGAGGCGGCTGATTGGTCCGGCAAGTGCGAAGCTTCCACCACAATGTCAGCTTAGGGGTGAAGGGAATAAGTGAGGTCCGGTGTTGTGTGACGTGCGTTTGGACCCGGTGACGCACTTTGGGGACCGCGGATGTATCACAGTGAAAAGGCAGAGAGCTTACGAAGGAATGGAGGTAGGAAATAGTCCGCTGTGTTTTCAAATTTTCATCCCGAAAGTCAGGCTTTTGACTTTCTACCTTTTTTCCTTTTGGGCCACTGAACCCGACGTGCTATTAGTAAAATACCAATCTAAATTGATTTATCCCAGCCCAAAATTCGTTTCATGGGCCTTTTAACACTTGGGTATTGGGTATATTTTAGAAACAGATAGGAACTTGGTGAGTGTTAATGAAAAGCTCTTAGTTGCAGTAAAATTTTCTGAGTAAAGCTCCAACTATTATTTATGACAAACTGCAATATTCTGGCAATACCTTTTCCAAATCGAGATTTCGTAAGGGTACACATAAACATTTGTGTGAACTGCTGTATAAATTTATTTTTATTTCAACTCTTTTTTTTTAGTTGTCACCTTTGTATAGGTTTTATTTGTTTGAGGAACTGTCAATAGAATAAATTAAAACTAAATTAGCTGAAGCAGTGGAAGGAAGCTTAAGAATAACCTTAACGAGTTTGGATTGTCTTAAAAAGGCATATTATCGTCCACATGTCGATCCTTGTTATCAAGAAGTTCTACATACAGAATGTCATTTATGTTCATAATTCAATGACAAAGTTTTTTTTTAATCCAAATTAAGAATGCAGCTTTATTACAACCTTTAGAACTTGAAGGAACCATCAATTTGAGTGCTCAATATTATTCCAAGATTATTTCAGTGGAATATACTATTTGGTTTACATTGTATATCATACATAAGATAATAATTCACAGCAGTTCATACTGTCCTTCATCAATTGGCATCTTGTTGCCATGCCTAGTGCTTCTATGCATAACTATACAGCTAGTTCTGTTTTTGAGGGAGTCAAATCTGGCATGCAGTTGATGCTAACGAAAGGTTGCATAGAAGTGTGAGACCAAAGTAGGCGGGTTGTTTAGTTGGATAGGCCAGCACGCAAATCTTAACATACAGGGTATTTCTGGGAATGTGGGCCAAATGAAACCTCCAGAAACTATGCATTACACGGAAAAAATGTTGATGCCGTAGTGGTCAAAGCCACAGGGCCCATTAAGGAAAATTATGGTTGTTCAATATAAGTAGGTAACTAATTTTACTAATTAAAATTTTAATTAATAACTTTAAAGGTACGGTTTCAATTTGGAACTTGATGCGAAGCACCGAAAACTACTAAATCCACCCACGTTACAGTTACATAAGACACGCAGCATTTTCTGGCGTTCCGAAAATATACTTAATCTGGATGCGTTTCTAGGTTTCCGTTTCTTATCGGGGTACATCTCTAAGTCAGCAATCCCGCTCTCTTGGGCCAAAACAGGCAACATACATCTGCCGTCACGCATCGCGCGTAGAAGGGGCTAGATAAGAAAGCCTCCGGACGGCCGTACAAGGTTTGTCTTTTTGACGTCGGTGCCAATGCGATGACGTACCTTTACGTGCGATGCGTGGCAGCGCACGCACGCTGTGCGTTTTGGCCACGGGGGCAGGATCGCCAGCATTGAGGTGTGCTCTGAGAAGAAACCGAAACCTAGAAATGCGTCCAAATATGGCATTGTTTCGGAACAGTGTAAAATATCATTGTAACGTGTGTTGATTTAGTAGTTTTCAACGATTTGCATCAAGTTTCGAATTGAAACTGTACCTTTAAAGTTGTTAATTAAAAATTTAATTCCTAAAATTAATTAATTATTCAATTACACTACTGTTAATGCTAATAACATTAAAAGCTAAATTACAAGGCTAATAATTTTTCTTAATGGGCCTTTTGGGCACAGACCACTACGGCATCAACATTTCTTTCTGTGCGACGCGCAGTTTTCGCGGGATCGATTTCGTCCGCGTTCCCAGAAACACCCTGTATAATATTCGGGGTGGTATGAATAAAAATGAAGTGTATGCTTGTGCTCTGAAAGTATTTCTTGCTGCTTTGTAATGGACTTTTGGCTGCTCCGAAGGTGCTACAAAATGACCCAGGTCAATCTCATCACTAATGTTGCGATAGTGTTCTGCCAGTGGAGGATGTACAGCTGCTCTAGCTAACCACACTATTGTGCCCTGCCTGCTTCCAGAGTTGGAGTGGATGCTGTCCAAAGTCGGCGCAGTGCAGTCAGACCTGGAAGAGGACCCAAGGCCCAAGACAAGAGACGTGCTTCTAGACTCTCTCAAAGCAGACTACGACGATTTGGCCGACTGGTAGCATCCGTGTTTGGTGCGGCTTAAAGGTGTCATCGTGCCCGTGGTGATGGGTATTTATTTGATATGGTTGAAATAAATTTTAATATTCCCCCTGTTGACAATTGATAAAACAAAATGGTTTAGTGCTTTGTCTGGTAGATGTCGGAAGAGTCTGAATTTGCCTTTAATTTCGGCATCTGATTTCTCCGGTGCGGAGTGGCGACTTGGCTTGCGTTGTAGGATTTCTTTTCGGCTGTGTTAGTAACATACCGTAATGTCCCGAGAGATAGCCCACCTAAAATTGAAATAAAATTGGGTTAAAATAAGCAGTGGGCTAACTTTTGGTGTGCAATCGAGAGAAGTTGAAAAAATGTGATGTTTAGATTTGTGTGTCTGCCAAACATGTTATCGCGGTGAGGAGCAATGAAGCAAAAATGACTATACCTCCCAGTCAGCAATGATCGTTTATATCCTGCCATATGTAACTAGACGCATTTAGGCCAAGGTAATGATTGATCCGAACACTATGATTACTCGGAATGGGCTGTCTTTCGGTGTTGAAAAGAAAATAGCAAATCAAGACAAAAATAGCTGTGGGTTACCTTTCATGGGTGGGGCATCTTCTCTCCGGATTTTACGGTATGCTCTTATTGGCAGTGGACAGAAGTCTTTGCTGTTGTAAACGTTTTTGTGCAATATGGGGTGTGGGGGGGGGGGGGGGGGGGGGGGGCTGTTCTCTCGTTTGGGAACCGATACATCGCAACAAGGGAAATCGCCTTTCGAATATTTTTGGTGTGGTCAAAGCCACAATTTGCAACAGGTGTTGTGTATGGTTAGCTACCCTGTGGGGGTTTTTAAAACAAGCCTGCGATAGGCATAACTTGCATGAATTGGCATTTATTTTGCGTAGAGATCCCTTTCCCTTTCCTCCCGGATATTATCCGGGAGGAAAGGGATAAAAAATATTTGCCAATCGTACCAAGCGGCTGCTGCAAAATTGCCCGAATGACATAGACAAACACGAAGCATTCGAAGTTTTGAAGCAACCAGATTCTGACAGATGGTGCTTGCATTATTCTGATGGCTATCCTTCTACATTAAAGGGGTACTTCGGCGTTCTCTTCATAGTCCTCGATTTCCCCAAAAATTTCCTAAACACACAAACAAACATTGTTGAAATAGTAACCCAAATATTTGGGCAAAATAAATTTTTTTTCACAAAGTTATTGAATTTACAATTTCGTTCCTGACCGTGTTTTTCAAAGTGAAAAGCTCTACTGGCAACAATGAAAATATGACGTCAGGGGAAGGCAGGGGTTCACTCTTTGGGCTGTAGACTTTGTTCCCAACTGATTACGAATGGTTTCATGGTGTCAAATGAATGCTTTGGAAGGTCGCTCTAGCTCCCACACAGCAGCACGAATAGTTCCTTTTTGGACTGCCCGCTTGATAGGCAAGCCTGCCCTCCCGTGACGTCACGGCATTGAAAAGCGCGGGTATATTTGAATCTTGGTTTTGACGTCATTTTCATTTGTCGATTTCACTATAACTATTCTGAATTTTGCGATACTAAATAGCATATTGGAAAGAGTAAAGGCCGGTGTTATTGAAAATATAGTTACTTGGAGTAGCTCAGAAAATCGCCAGAGTACCTCTTTAAGGCTGTGGTCCCACGGCAGCCATCTTGAACAAGGCGTTAGTTCAACCAATAGATGGCGACACGCACCCGTGGGGTGGCCGAAACAGCGGTTCACAGTGGGATGGCTCGAGCACCATCACGTTCCCCTCGTGGCCTTGCTCGTGCCGCTGCCAGCTGTGCTCAGCTAGCTCAAGTAGCGTGGCCCAGCATACGGATGTATGCGTGAATTTCAGGTTGGGTATAAATTGTTCCCTGATATAGGGAGATGCGGTTCGGCGGTTGTAACGGGCTTTCGCAATAATTGTTACCAAGGAGGAATCAAATGTTCATTGACGTGTCAATATTCTATCAATGAAAATTTCCTCTGCAGGAATGCACGCTCAGTAGACTCAATCTTTCAAGACACCAGTGGAAGCGGACGTCAAGTAAACTGCTTCGCCATTTACGGTACTTACCTCACCATTTTAATGACGACTAAAATAACGTCACGAAATATTGTGTTTTACGGGGTCCGGAAGATGTAAAGGTTGTTACATTATAGTTCCCAGAAACTTTCTGGAAAGACTCGAAGTCTTCCTTGAGTCCAACGCCATAATGAACAGAAACTGAAAACGATCCACTATTCAGTCGGTGGGTGGCGAAACGTATCCGCATCTGCGGAGTCATGGTTGATGCGTACTCTAAGTGGCTGGAAGTTTACACGATGCCTGCCACGACGTCCAAACACGTCATTGACGTTCTATGGTCTCTTTTACCTACTTTTGCCCTACCGAAAATACTTTTCTCTGATAACGCGCCAAATCTTGCTTCAAATATAAAAAAAAAAGTTTATGAAAAAAAAAAAAAAAAAAAACCGGCATCAGGCATCACATTAGCGAACCATACCATGCTGCAACTAACGGGCAAGCAGAACAGATGGTGTGCGAAACGGAAAAATGCCTTTTTGAAGCTTACGTAAAAAGCAGTTCAGTGAAGAATCGCCAGGTTCTTGTTCCAGCAGCGCGCGATGGTCTCATATTACACAGTAAAAACACCCGCCGAAGCAATATTCGGCGGACGAAGAGCCACACCCTTCGATCTCATGATACTATATCCTAAGAACGAAGATCGAGAGATTCCCAGATCGGGGAGTAATGGCAGTTTATTCGGTCGGACAACTCGTCTACGTGAGGAATTTCAGCGGAAGTCGGTCCTTCCATGTAAAACTTGAGTAGAAAAGGCTCTATGTTGGTTGACCAGAAGGTGTCATCCCTCTGAATACGTTGGATATCAATGCCCTTGAGTGTCAATATAACTAAATCACAAAACTCTCTTTGTGTATTGTGTAACTGCCCTTGTATTTGATAGTAGAAGCTATGGGGTGATTTGGACCTTTCACACCAGGCTCCTATTTCTTATTTTTCGCCTCATACTCCTTTGCGGTTTAACTATGTTTCAAGAATCTTTTGGAACGGGGACACTTTACGTCAACGAGGTTACGAGGCCATTTGTTCCAAGTAGTCAATCAGGGAATGCTGCTAGAAATCCGTCCCTCATATTAACGAATAAGCCGCACTTCTGCACAGTGCAGTTTTCCTGCTCCACGTACAGTTGTAAAGCAGCATACTCATTGATTCTACCATATACTGTTGCGGGTGAAGAATGTCTTTGGCTACACGATACTTGAAACAAGTCTGGCACTGTACGTTGTGGTTTAACACCCACTAATGTCGTCGTCCTTATAGAGCCTCATCATTTAATCATTACCTCGTCACCTCATATTGCTCTTCATCAACAGTAAGTACAATAGGCTGCCGCAATATTACAATCAAAGAATTGAAAAATTGAGTCGTTCAGTCCTTCAACAAATTTATTATTTATATAATGTTATTACGTTACATTACCTCGAGACGATCGACGTACATTACCTCGAGACGATCGACGGCCGAGTGCATGGTCTAGCGTACACCAGCTTGGAGCACTTGGAAGCTCGCGCTGCAGGACATACCCCGCCCCTGCCCGTTTCGATCTGGATGAGCATCGCACCGGCGTGCGGTCGTGTATCCCTACTGCGTGGTGCACGTTAAGGACCAGAGGTTTGCGGTTGTACCGCACTGGCTAAATTGCTCATCTACAGCTGAGACACCAGACGCCCACTAAGGCAGACTAACTTCCGGCTGTATAACATTGCACACAACAGTTTGCAATTAGACGCATAATAACAAAGAACACAGCGTGCCGCCTGTTTTCTTTGGATGCCTTTTGAAAGCTCGCGCGTTCTATCGTTTGAGACGGTTAGAACGGTCGCACATAAAACCCGCGTTTCTCCTACCCGGCCGCTTCCTCCTCTCATAATGTGTAGTTGGCTATAACTAAATAAGCTATGATAATGGTGTATTATTCATATTTAGTTTCAGTTTCAGTCAGGGAATATAAGTTTCGCGGGAACTAGAGCCGATAAATGAGCGGCGCTTAGAGTATCGGCACTCTCTTCCCCGAGAGTGTCGTGAACGCCGCCATTTTGGAGCTTGTGCAAAGCAGGTGCAACTGCCGATCGTCATGATCCAAAAGTGCGACATCCTCAACATTAGATTCGGTGTTAGGAAGCTCATGTAATGTTGCTTTGCTTTGTCGCAAACGGTTTAAAGTGGAGGACGGAAAAGCGTTTCTTGTGATTTCAGATAAAGCTTCAAGTAACTGGCAACCATGATTTTAAGCCACAATATGGCCAAGTGTCACTACTCTAAAGCGTAGCTTATTTAATGACACTATTCATGCTCTTGTTCAAGAGGCTTGTAATACTTGGAGGGGCTATGACGTAAGCCCCGTGGATTCCACAAGACACTACCTTTTGACACCTGCCTCTTCCTCATTGTTCCTGCATGTGCCAGTAAATTAGCTACGGTTCAAAGTAACGACACTTGGCCATATTGCGGCTTAAAATCATGGTTGCCAGTTATTTGAAGCTTCATCTAAAATCACAGGAAACGCTTTTCCGTCCCCCACAAATGTTTCAACAACCCGCGACAGAGCATTGCAATATTGCATCAGCTTCTTAGCACCGCATCTAATGCTGAGGAAGTCGTACTTTTGGATCATGACGATCGGCCGTTGCGTTTGCTCTGAACAAGACCCAAAATGGCGGCGCCCAAAACAATTTTGGGAATACTTTAAAGCTCATTTAGTGACTCTCTCTAGGCATGAAGTGAACATGGGTGTATTCCATGGTGTATTCTTTTCCTCTTCGTCTTTATTGTTTATTAATTTCAATCATATCGAATAATGAACACATTACATCACGCTACGCTTGTGTAATTATTTGTCTTAGATTTATTAACCTAACTCAGTATTTAAACCATTCATTTACCGATAGTAAATCTTCCAATATATTTTTTTAATGTGAAGGTAAAAAGACACGGAGATTGATGATGATACAGACGCCAACGCCGCCCTCGGAAATTTTTTGAACATCAGAAATCAGCAGTTTGTCTGCGATCCGCCAGGTAGCGCAACAAAAC